TCAATGACATGAGACAAAGTATATGTGAACTGCTGTATGAAAAGTGAGTTTACTCTGTAAATCTTCACCCAAATCCTAATAAAAAAAAAAAAAAGTGGTAATGGTGTAATATAGCCAAGTAATATTCAAAAAAAAAAAAGAAGAATAAGGAAGGAATACACAGAGTCACTGCACCAAAAAGAACTCATCAATGTTCAAACATTACAGGAAGTAACATATGATTAAGAACTAATCAGAAAAGAAGAAGTCCAAGCTGCACTGAAAGCATTGGTAAAAAATAAGAGTTCTGGAATTAATGGAATATCAACTGAGATGCTTCAACAAATAGATGCAATACTGAAAGTGCTCCCTCATCTATGCCAAGAAATTGGAAGACAACTACTGGCCAATCAATTAGAATCAATTATGCTTATTCCAAAGAAAGGTGATCCAACAGAAAACAGAAATTTTTGCACCATATCATTAATATCACACAAAAGTAGAATTTTGCTGAAAATAATTAAAATAAGGTTGCAGCAGTAACATAGACTGAGAACTGCCAGAAATTCAAGCCAAATGCAGAAGCGTATGTGGAAAGACAATATCATTGCTGACATCCAATGGATGTTGGCTGAAAGGAAAGAACAACAGTACAGTGTTTACCTGTGTTTTATTGACTATGCAAAGGCATTCAACTGTGTGGATCATAACAAATTATGGGTATCATTGCAAAGAATGGGAATTCCAGAATGCTTAATTATGCTCATCTGTATATAGACCAAAAGCAGTCATTTGAACAGAACAAGGGTATACTGCATGGTTTCAAATCAGGAAAGGTATGCATCAGGATTATATCTTTCACCATACTTACTCAATCTGTATGCTGATCAAATAATCCAAGAAACTGAACTATATTAATAAGTATGTGGCATTAGAATTGGGGGAAGACTTATTAACCACCTGCAATATGCAGATGACACAACTTTGCTTGCTGAAAGTGAAGAGGACTTGAAGCATTTACTGATGAAAATCAAAGACTACAGAATTCTGTATGGATTATACCTCAGTATAAAGAAAACAAAAATCCTTAAAAGTGGACCAATACATAATGGAGAAAAGATTGAAGTTGTCAAGGATTTCATTTTACTTAGATCCACAACTAAAGCCCACTGAAGTAATGGTCAAAAATTCAAATGAGTATTGTGTTGGCAAATCTGCTGCAAAAGACCTCTTTAAAGTGTTAAAGATGTCACTTTGAAGACTAATGTGTGCCTGACTCAATCACCTCATGTATGCAAAAGTTAGACAATTAATAAGGAAGCCTGAAGAAGAACTGAGGCATTTAAATCATGGTGTTAATGAAGAATATTAAAAATATTATGGACTTCAAGAAGAATGAACAAACCTGTGGTGTAAGAAGTAAAGCAGAATATTCCTTAGAAGTGAGGATGGTGAGACTTAGTCTCGTAAACTTTGGATATGTTATCTGGAGGGACCAGTCAATGGAGAAGGCTATCATGTCTGGTAAAATAGAGGGTCAGTGAAAAAGAGGAAGACCCTCAAGGGGATGGATTGACACAGTGGCTCCCACAAAGGCCTCAAATATAATGATTATGAGAATGATGCCGAACTAGCCAGTGTTGTGTTTTTTTGTACATGGGGTCGCTATGAGTTGGAACTGAGTTGACGGCACCTAACAACAACAGTATCCAATAAGAAAAAATTAGACCTGAAGAAGCAGGAAAATGTGATCTATTACCAGGATAAAAAACAATCAATAGAAGTAGACTTAGAAATGACAGAGATGAAGAAATTAGCAGATAAGGATATTAAAACAGAGTTGCTATGAATATTCTCCATATTCTCAAGGATTTATAGGGAAATATGAACATAATAAGGAGACAACTAGAAGATAAAAAAGATTCAAATGAAAATTATAGAATTTAAAAATGTATTATCTGAAATGAAAGATACACTGGATGGGATTGGTAGCAGATTGGACACTGAGGAATAGAAAAACATCATTTTATTTAGTCCTCACCACACCTCTGACCTATAAACATTAAGAAACTTGCCTAAGATGACTGGAATCTTAGAAGCCTGCAAGTAGCCATCAAAGACACAACAATTGATTTCTCATTGTTTGGAGCAAAAAAGAGTGAGGGAAAATCAAAAATGCATGGAAACAATTAATTGAAGGCTGAATGGACCATGGGAACCTCAGCCCACGTGACCCTGAGACCAGAAGAAGCAGATGGTACCTGGCTACCAATGCCCACCACTCAGAAAAGGATCAAAACTGGAGATCCTGTATAGAATGGGAGAAAATATGGAACAAAATTCAAAAACATAAAAAAAATGCCAGGATTACTTGTTAGATAGAGACTGGTGGAACCCCTGAGACTATGGCCCTCACCCTTTGGAATTAGACTCATTCCCATGGCTTAACTCTCATCCAAACAATAAATAGGCCTACAAGCTGAACAACTACACCAGGGAAATGTGCTCCTTAGAACAGTTAAACATGGGAGGTCAGAAGGGAAGCATTTGCACAGGGAGAAAGCTTGGTAGGCAGAAATGCATAGGTAAAGAAACAGAGAAAGGGTAATGACAAGGAGGATGTGGGAAGAGAGCTGTTACATTGTGGGGATTATAATTAGTGTCACGAAACACAATGTGTATGGATGGAAAATGAATCTGCTCTGTAAAATTTCACCCAAATCACAATAAAACCTTTAAAAGAGAGAGAGAGAGAGAGAATGTTGCTGAAGAGCATACATGTAAGAAGTAATAAAGCTATAAATTAACCCATTATCTATCTTAACATTAATACTTCAAATCACTATTAACAACAATATGATGTGATGTTTTCATAGCACTTTAAAGCTTATATATTTTCTTTGGATGCCAGTTTTCCACTTAGACCCAGTACTTCTGACAACTCTCTTCTTTTTACTGACATATAACAAATATAAAGCAGCACAAACTGTCAGGTGTAAATTTCAGCCTACTTTACTGAGCCTTAGTATTTTCACCTATAAAAATGATTAAGTGATAAAATAGTATGTGGGCATGTTTATATACTCTGAAGTGTTATACAGGGTTAAGTATTTTAAATCTTTATGATGAGAGGAGGAGCTCTGGTAGCATAGTGCCTAAGGCACTTGACTGCTAACCAGAAGGCTGGCGGTTCAAACCCACCAGCCACTCCTCGGAAGGAAGGTTGGGCAATCCACTTCCGTAGTGACATGGCCTCAGAAACCCAAGGAGGGGTAACTATGAGTTGAGTCCAACTTTACGGCAAATAACAACAACAACAACAACATAATGAGAGGGATAATGACTCCCTGTCTACCTGCACTGCCTCCATGAGGAGCTCTGGTGGCATAGTGCCTAAGGCATTTGACTACTAATCAGAAGGCTGGTGGTTCAAACCCACCAGCCACTCCTCAAAAGGAAGACTGGGCAACTACTTCCATAGACATACTGCCTCAGAAACCCAAGGAAGGGTCACTATGAGTTGGACTCCACTCCACAGAGGTGAGTTTGGTTTGTTTTTTGTTTGTCTGTTTGTTTGCCTGCATCCTTCAGCCAGTAAGTATCCGGAAAAGCCTATACCCCTTTAAGGTTGCCCTTAGGCAGAAACAAATAACCTAAATGTGAGCATATAATCAGAAAACCCAGAAGTCACTAAAAGTTCACTTAGTGTAGGGGCCAATCCAGATTTGTCTATCATTGACTCAATAATCCCCAGGGTGCCCTGAACTCTGTCAGGAAGCACTAGATTGGAACACCAAAAGTTCTCAGTTTGAGTCATACTGTAGAACTTTAAGCAATTCACTTAATCTAAGCATCATTTCTTCATCAGTAAAATGAGGATTGAAATTATCTACCTTATAATAACATTGTTTGCAAGATTAAATGAGATAATAACTCAAACGCCTTAGCATAGTGCTGGCAATCCTTCAATAAATAGCAGTCAAATGCCTTAGGTACCATGTCACCAGAGCTCCTTCAATGAATTTTAGTTTGAATTATTCTAAGGAGTGAGAAAGCAGTTTATATACTAGAAAACATTTTATGAATGTGAGGGTGGATCATCACAGTCTGAAAGCTTTCCTGCCCCAGCCTGAAACAAAAGGAAGAACACATTTGAATTTGTCTTCATACTGTAGCCTCTCTTAAATTCTTCACCTACTCCTTTCTTACTCTCCCAGTCAATCCCAGAAGTTCACCTGTCACTCCAGTCTCCTTTCCATTCCACCTTCCCCCAGGGGTTCCACAGTTTGACTAGATATTTGGGCCCATATTTGCAAGTCACCTGCACAAAATGAGAAGCAGTTTAAATGTCAACCTCAAGTATTCCAAATATCTGGGTGAGCCTAAGGCCTGCATCTGAGGCCTTGAAATGGCAGCTCAAAGAGCAAAGGAGAATTGGTAAAGGAGAAAGTGGCTCTGCTACTTTACTTCCTGTGATACCTAGGGCCAGTTACTTACCATCTCTGTTCCTCAGTTTCCTGGTTTATAAGATGAGACTAATAATCATACTTATTCATAGGGCTTTTACAAGAATAAAGTGAGTTAATATTTGTAGGTATTTAGAATACCATTCAGCAAGTAGTGAGTGCTATATAAATTTTGTTAAATAAGTATGAGAATAAATAAAAAGTTCTTAGCAAACAAACATGCTTGCTAGAGATCTTGGAAGAAGGAGAGGCTGGCTTCAAGAAGCTGAAAGAGGATTTAAAGAGAATTGGAATTTTGGAGAGTTAGGCACTCTGGAGAATAGGAGAGTTCCTTTGAGACTAAACCTTCTGACTTATCTCTACCTTTGTTCACGCTGCTCCTTCAAGCAAGACTGCTCTTCTTCCCTTGTATAAATCTAACCATCTTTCAGGAATCAACTGAAATATCAACTCTTCTATAAAGCTTTCCTTGATTTCCCTCATCCCAGCTAGGTGGACTCCATCTCTCCTAACTTAGTATTCCTCAAATCCTTATAAGTACTTTCTTCTCTCAGTTTCTACTTTGCTTCCTCATCATTATATAATGTGGTTTGTTCCCATACCTGACTGTAAGCTCTTTGTAGGCAGGGCTCCTGCCTTACCCATATTCCCTTAAATGCCTGGTAGAGCTCAAAAGAGAAATAAATAGCAATTGGAGGATACTGAGAGACTGTGGAAAAGGAGTATGCAATGAAGAAATGGGGATTTTGGAGAGAAGAGCAGCTATATGGACTGCCATTGACAGACCAGGGAAAGGTAATGAGGCACAGCTGGGCTGGATGGCCAATTGGCTGAGGGCTGATCCATTGGGAGAAGAGGTTGGGATAGTGCCCACACTCTCAGCCCAGGAAATAGGTACAGAGGCATGGACAGCCCACCATCTGCTTTGGCAGGCTCTGGAAAACCCACCAAGCACTTTGCCGCCCAAGGTTGGTCACAGATGCTAACATCCACCAAGGTCTTGGTTGGAGAGAAGGAAATCTAGGGGGAAATGGAAGGACTTAGTTCAACCCACCTTCCTGATTCCGGTGAGTGTATAGGCATGACCATCCACTAATCCATTCTCCAGCACCCTCTCCTTCTGTAAAGATTTGAAAAAGAGATCCTGGTCAGTCCTCTGTATGGCTTATTCCAAAGAGTAAGTGGAAGAGCTGTTTGCCTGGAGAAAGAGTTCATGAGGAGGAGAGTGGGAGGGAAGCATAGGGTTACCTTACAGTTTTCAAAGCTCTTTGGTCTCATTTGAAAGTCTCAATAACTCAGTGTGCCACACTGGTAGTGATTATCACTCCAATTTTACAGAGGACAAATCAGATTCAGAACTGGAATGTTACTGTGTGAGGTCATATGAATGAACAATTGTGGAGATGAGGATGAACACAGTGCTTCCTACTCTAGCCCTGTGTTCTTGGTTGTTACTAAATTGCACATGTAAAGTCTTTGCATGTAGCTGGAACTTAATAATTGTTAGTTCACCCATCTTTCTTCTCCTGTGGCTTTGCCTGCCCCAAGGACTTAGAAATGCTGATCTAGACAAGCATTTGGGTGGAGGTGTTGGGCCCACGTAGAGGAGAGAATGGTAGGTGATGTATGCAGAGGAGGGGAGCAGGAGAGGAGGACATTCTTCAGGTTCCCAGCCCAGTCTCACCCCTATGTGGGTCTGGCAGCCAATGAGAGTTCTATTGTAGGTGGCATGGGTTAGGATGTCCCACAGGTTTCTAGGGGCCTCTTCCAGGTTGATGACCACTGTAACTCCCCCGGTGAAGTCCACAAGTGCTTCAGACACCTGTCCAAACTGCAAGTCTTCATAGGAGCCAGAGAGCCTGCCAGGGAAGGAGTACACATGGGAGGAGAAGGGAAAGGACATTTATACTGTAGCCTGGGATAGTCCAAATGGGTATCATGAATCCCTTGTTCTGTTATTCTCTGAACATTTCTCTGCTACTCTTTCTTTCCTTCCATTCCAGGGGCAAAGAAGGAAATGCACACTCATGGTTCATGTCCCCTCTTAAACAACACCACCCATTAGAGAAAGGCAAAATTCCTGGATGGTTGTTCAGATGGAGTTAGAGACCCTAGATGCAGTGAACTGCTTGATGTGGCCCTTCTAGCCATTGTCCTCCATTCTGTGACGTGTTGTAAATCCTATTATCCATGCCTGTTTGGGGTGCTGTGGTAGTTAAGGTCAGGTATCAACTTGGCTGGGCAGCTGGTAGTTGTCATTGGCTATAATGATTGGCAATTGGCTCTGTGTGGGATTTGCCTTGAGCTGCTGATTGTTAAAGCCATCCACTTGGGTTATTTCTGTTGAAGCAACAGTGGTGGAATGTATCTTGAGTCCTGCATTGCTGGAGGGTATAATTCAAACCACCACCCTTAGCTTCCTTGGGGGTATACCTACGAATCTCCTGGGAAGGTTCGCCCTCCTCTTGCTCTGGTTCTGTGTTTTGGCTCATCCTCATCTCACCCCCGGATTTGGGACAGCAGCTGTCATCTGATCTTCTGATCAAGGTTCATCAAACCCTAAGAATTGGGAGGATCCTCCAGACCCACTCACAGACCTGGGACTCACCAGCCTGCCAGCCTCTACCACTACTATGTGAGATGATCCCTTGGGTGTCTGTGAGTTCTGTGAGGCATTACAGTGAAATACAGAACCCTAAGATGGGGGAAATTACTGGGAGGAGGAGTTAATATTTGAAATGATGGAGTGGCATGGTAGTTTGGACATTTGGGACATCTTTAACCTCTGCCTCATGGGGACTGGTCTTGTGCTGATCTTTCTGAGAGAAATTGTTCAAGCAATAGGTATGTCAATTTTATATTCATTGAGACATGCCTTGGTGTCTTACTTCATAAACTTTACCTGCTTCCACTCTCCTCCCTCAACACTGGTAAGAGAGAGACAGAGACAGGAGGGCTGGAGGGAAAATGGGAAAGATTTCTGGTGGGTGTCTTACTTGGCATAGGCCTTTTCCAGAAGAGCTCCCCAGAACAAGTTTTCGTAGGTGGAGGAGACAAAGACCAGCTGGCCAGCCTCATTCACAGGCAGACGATCATCTATCACCACAGGAACCCAGTTCCCAAACTGCCAGAACTAAATGAAGAGAGTACTTGCTGATGAGTACACACTGATGTGGAAGATAACCCAGGTGAACCTCTTTCATATGACCCCTTGCAGGCTGAGGACAGGAGGACACTCACCCAGAACTGGAAGATGCCAGCATACTTCTCAGTGAAACTCTGGTTCAGGGGAACAACTCGGCTCAGAATGTCCTGGTGCAATGTCAGAGCTTGCAAAGCAGCCAAGAACCAGCAGTCTCCTAGGCCAGACAGCGCAAGGTTCCATTCTACAGGTGTCTATAGGAATCTGCTGAGGACCTGTTGCCTACGGGAAATGCCTGGGTCCCAACTGATTCCCTCTCTGAGCTTATATCCTAGCTAATAGGAAGCAGAATTGGACGTGGAGAACATTGTTCACTCAACACCAAGAGCTGGATCATATTCCTGGACCAGCTTCCAGCTTTCTGAATGCTTTAACATTGAGAATTTGAACCAAAACACACCCAAGCTTTTCTACATTCTGTCTCTGTAACTTATTTATGTTCTTCTGGGAAAGCCTCACCCCTTCCAAACTCCTTTTCCCTGTATGTGGAATGGCTATCATTATACTCATGCCTTCCCTGATGGCCATGGGTCATTTCCATTTATTCCAAAAAGAACATTAAGATGAGGGTAAACCTGCTTGGATCCTATTCTGAAGAGTTCTAGAGGGTGGTATTCCAAGAAGGACCTCACTGTGGAAACTAGAGTGAACATATTCTCCCAATATAAAATTTAGAGCTATGAGCTGACAACTAGGATTGCCTGGGTATGAAATCCCCATTAATTCTCAGAGGATCAGCTTTTGTAAAGGTACCAGCAGAGGTCAAGGTTGATTTCCCAGTTTGCTGCTGAGTAGCCTTTTGTGGCTCATCCCCTCTCCCATTGGGATCTCTCAGCTTCCCTCTTTACCATCTCATTCTGCTTTGGCTGAGACAGGCTTACAGATGGCTGGGTGTGTGTTTCCAGGTGCTCTGCCCACTTACTCACTACCCCTGGCACAGATCCAGCCTTTTGGCCCCAGCAGAATAGAACTGGGGATTGCTGTGCAGCTCCTGGAGGAAGAGACAGACTTGTCATTCTGACTGAGAACAGAGAAGGTCTCTGGACCTACCACCACCAAAGTTACTGTCAAGTAGAACTGCACTCCATAGGGTTTTCAATGGCGGTGATCTTTTAGAAGTAGATTACCAGGACTTTCTTCTGAAGTATCTCTGGGTTTATTCAAAACATCAACCTTTTGGTTAGTAGCTGAACACTTAACATTTAACATGATCTTAGTTTTAGTATTCCATACTCTTGCTATTGCTGTTAGTTATCATCAAGTCAATTCCAACACATGGCAACCTCATATGTGCAGACCAAAACTGCTCCATAGGGTTGTAAAGATCATGACGTTTCAGAAGCAGATCTTCAGGCCTGTCTTTCAAGTGCCTCTAGGTGGATTTGAACCATCAATCTTTCCAGCTAGTAGTCAAATGCTCAACTTTTTGAGTCGCCCAGGGATTTCTTCTATATATTCTTAGATACAGAATATATGTGGAATTTGGGCTGTCCCAGAAAATCTGGGATGTAAGTTCCTCACACTATATATATGAAGTTCTCTTGTTTCTTCCTAGGGCTCATGTAAGTCAGTAGTCAGACAACTTCATGGAGATACTGAGAAATAGCGCTGTACCAAAAAGCCTTTTCTTATAGTTTCTACTGAGTATGGAAGCACTTCTTTTACGGGGTATTCTCATTTTTCTTGTCCTCCTTAACCACCCCTACTTCTCTCTCTCCCCTGTCCCCTGATATAGTGGGATTTTTTTCTTTGCATGTTGAGATGTGGGCTGGGGTGGGAGTAGTGAGTGGGCAGCTGGTCTCTGCCACATGGCAAACACTCAATCCTCAGTCTTTGCATGGGCACCCTCCCTCAAAGTATGTAACAGAGTCTCCATGTCAACAGTTCCCAAGATTTTCTGAGAGAAAGAGTGGAATCTCGACCGCCCACTTGGGTACTGACATATAGAGAGGACTTAATAGGTCTGCGGCTGCAGGTATTGATGATGATGGCTGAACAGGGAACAGGAAAGGGAAGAATTTGTAGCATAGGTTGACTTCACTCTGTTCTCTCATTGTGTTCTTAAAAGCAGATTTGTAAATCCAGTTTGGGGAGCTGGAGTGCATTTGAAAACACTAAAAAACTTGCCTTTTAAATGAATTATTGATTATTTTGTAATGTGAAGAATACTTTCAGAAAGTAATGAATAGTTTCTTAATTTACATGTTTCATGAGCTCTAATTGGTGAGTATGTTAAAACTTGTCTCTCTGGTAGGTGATATTAGTGGTGAATCAAGATGCCTGGCCATCTCAAATGAGGCTGCACAATACCTTGATTTCTTTTTGGCTGCAGCTACTCTGCAGCAACTCTTTTGGGCAAGGGCTCAGGGAGAGCTACATTGTAGACTATCTTTACCTTTGCTTTTGCTATTGGGAAAATGGGTATATGGAAACTCATCCAGTTTCCTTCTTGTGGAGAGGTAGTAAGACCTGGTACCAGAAAGCCCTGATCCCTCAGAAGGAGAGTCTTGACTGACACATGTGTACTTTATTCAGAAGCTCCTTCCTCGGCCCTTACCGGAGGCCTCTTCCACTGCAAACGGGGTGGCAGCTTCTGCAGCAGGGGCCCACAACCAATGGAGCTCAGAGTGGCTGGAAATCTGTCATCTTCAAAGAGGCATTGGCTCCTCAGGCAGCTTTCCAACAAAGCCTCGTAGTTCTGTTTGGGGAGTTGAGAAGAGCTTCCTGCTAACTTCTCCCCAGCTTCCCTCTCCCTCGGAAAGATGGACACAGAAACATGACGGCAGGATAAAGTCCCCACAGGTCTTCCCAGATTGTGTTTGCTGCTCCTGCAATGGAGAGCACATGGTCAGTTGACTCACTTCCTGTTTATGCTTTGCAATTTCCACAGAGAGAGAAGGGATGTGCAGAGAAGGTAAGAAAGATAAATAACCTGTGAGAAAAGTGGTTGGTTCAGGTCTTATCCCAGAATCCTTGAGTATATGTTCAAGTCATTAGTGTCCTGGTGGGGAATCCAGCTCATGCAACAAAGCCCTGTGGGAAAGATATGGACACTCCTGCCTCAAGGCTCCATCTTGAGCCTCTGACTGCTCTGCGATAACAGGGCCACGTCTGTTTACAAGACTATGACACTTGCTTTCCCCCTTCTACATTCTTTTCAACACTAGCTCCTTCCTTGAAGACTTTTTGACTATGTTAAAGAAAAAAATTCACACACATATTGTGCCTACTACCTGATCAATTCTCCTGCTTTTACTATTAATGGAATCCCAGCTTTGTTCATCTGACTATAAAACTTGATTTCCCAGGATTTCTTACAGGAGGTTAAAAAAAAAAAAAAAAAAAAAAAAACCATTGGAGTCAAGTCAGATCCGACTCATGGTGACCTCTCCTTGGGTTTCTGATGCAGAATCACTATGAAAGTAGATTGCCCAACCTTCCTTCTGAGGAGTGGCTGGTGGGTTTGAACTGCCAGCCTTCTGGTTAGCAGTCAAATGCCTTAGGCACTACACCACCAGAGCTCCCTACAGCAGGTTAGACACACAATATAGCCTGGCCAAAGAGGTGAAGGTAAAAGTCTATTGGGAGGGGCCTTTAGAAAAGCTGTGGTTTTCTCCAATAAAAAAGGACAACCTCACCTGGCACCACTTTTGACCTTCTTCCTTTCCCCTTCTTAGAAAGCAGATGTGATGCCTGGAGATGGAGCAGCCATACTGGAATCATTAGGACAACAGTCACATGCTGGAAGAAGCTTGAATCTTGATGACTTCCTTGAACAAATGCACCCTACTGTCCTTTACTTTTTGTCTCTCAAATTATCACTAGTGAAGGATCTGTATTTTTAGTTCCAGTTTGTCTGACTAATACTTTTTAAATGTTTAATAAAATGAATTAACAGAAAAATAAATTTAAAAGGTACACAAAATTCAAGATTTCCTCTTTTTAATTTCCAGACTCAACAGAAATAAAATTATTTATTTAGTCTAACTGTTATGTGAATTTCTAAACATTTGCCCTCAGTTTTATGTCTAGCTCAGCATGAACTGATAACAACCAGTTTGAGGAATGATTTATCCATGAACCCTATTTTGGGCTCAAGTCTGAGGGACTCATTAGCAGAAGCCTCTTCTGCCCTAGCACCTTCTTGTAATTTCCCATAGGATCACCCTGGCGGAATGTGGTTTGTCTCATGCCCATACCTCTCTTGTGATTACGGCAGCCTGATCTCCAACTACTGTTACTTGTCACAGATGTATACACACTTCCTGAGACAAGACCCAGTACTCTCCTAATGGTGGATTATAGAGATCCAAAAGCTGCTACTCATGTTTTGTGTTTCCCTCTGAATTTTTCTTCCTAATATGGACTGTCAGGCAGAACTTCCTCCAATCTTACCACATTTTCATACTCAAAATTTTCTTCTACCACATTTACATTTAAAAAGAAACACAAGGCCACACAAAGTGAAGTTCTTTCAATTTTTTCCCTTAAAGCCTGAACAAAACTCGTCCCCTGCTTGCGACATGCATGACAAATGACAGATAGTCTCTTGGCTTCAGAAGTTGAACAAAGCTCATGTCCTTTCTACTCAGGTGAGTCACACCCTGGGCTTCTCTCTAAGGCTGAAAACACTGCATCTTATGTCAAGCTTTATACCCCTTGAGGCTCAGAGAACAAAACGCTCATCAAAAAATCTTCTCACCTCTTTATTTCAGAATTAGGCCAATGGCACAAAAACTAACTTATTCTAAAAGAAGTATTCTGAAGTCCTACCACTCATCTATCAGTTTGTGGTACTGTGTGTAACTTGTGTTTTTCTGTGATCCTGAAAGTTATGTATTTCAAATATCATCAGGGTTACTCATTCTGGACAGGTTTCAGCAGAGCTTCCAGATTAAGACAGACTGGGAAGAAGAACAGGCCATCTACTTCTGAAAAAAATGGCCACTGTAAAGCTTATGAATAACAGTGAAAGACTGTCTTAAATGTTACTGGAAAACTTTATGAATAGCAGTGAGACATTGTCTTATATAGTGCCAGAAGGTATGCCCCTCTAAGGCACTCAAAATATCACTGGGGAAGAGGTGCCTCCTTAGAGTTGACCTTAATGACATGGATGTAGTAAGCTTTCAGGATCTTCATTTGCTGATGAGTCATAACTCAAAATGAGAAGAAACATCTACTAACTTTCATTAGTAATCATATTGTGGAATGTACAAAATATGAGTCTAGGAAAATTGGAAGTTGTCAAAAATTAAATGGAATGCATAAAGACCAATGTTCTAGGCATTAGTGAACTGAAATGGACTGACATTGGCCATTTTGAATCAGACAATCATATGATCTACTATGCCAGGAATGACAAATTGAAGAGAAATGGTGTCATATTCATTGTCAAAAAGAACATTTCAAGATCTATCCTAAAGTATGATGCTATCAAAGATAGGATAATATCCATATCCCTACAATGAAGACCAGTTTAATACTACTATTATTCAAATTTACACACCCACCACTAAAACAAAAGATGAAGAAATTGAAGACTTTTACCAACTTCTGCAGTCTTAAATTGACCAAACATGCCATCAAGATATCTTTATAATTACTGGTGATTGGAATGCAAAAGTTGGAAATAAAGAAGAAGCATGGGTAGTTGGATAATAAAGCCTTGGTGAAAGAAATGGTGCCAGAAACCACATGATAGGATTTTGCAAGACCAATGACTTAATCATTATAAATACTTTTTTTCTAAAACATAAACTATTCTAAACACATGACCCTTGCTATACACGTGAAAAGATGGAATGGAAAAAAGATATGGAATGAATACACAAGAATCAAATTGACAGCATCAGTGGAAAGAGTGATAGAGAAACTCAATCATCAGTTACAACAAGGCCAGGAGCTGACTATGAAACAGATCATCAATTGCTCATATGCAAGTTCAAGTTGAAGCTGAGGAAGATTGAAACAAGGATACAAGAACCACCATATGACCTTGAGTATATCTTGCCTGAATTTAGAGACCATATGAAAAATAGGTTTGATGTATTAAACACCAGTGACTGAAGACTAGATGAGTTGTGGGATGACATCAAGAACATCATACATGAAGAAGCAAAAGGTCATTAAAAAGACAGAAAAGGAAGAAAAGACCAAAATGAATATCAGAATAGACTCTGAAACTTGCTCTTAAATGGTGAGTAGCTAAAGTGAATGAAAGAAATGATGAAATAAAAAAGGTGAACAGAAGATTTTAAACGGCAGCTCGAGGGGACAACGTGAAGTATTATAATGAAACATGCAGAGACCTGCAATTAGAAAACCAAAAGGGAAGAACATGTTCAGTATTTCTGAAGCTAAAAAATTGAAAAAAAAAAAAAATCAAGCCTCTAATTGCAAGGATTCTGTTGGCAAAATATTGAACAATGCAAGAAGCACCAAAGGGAAATGGAAGGATTACACAGTCACTGTACCAAAAAAAAAAATTGTCGATGTTCAGCCATTTCAAGAAGTAGCATGTGATCAAGAACCAATTGTATTGAAGGAAGAAGTCCAAGCTGTATTGAAGGAAGAACTCCAAGCTGCATTGTAGGAATTGGAGAGAAACAAAGCTCCAGGAATTGACTGAATACCCACTGAGATGTTTCAACAAATGGATGCAATGCTGGAAGCACTCATTCATTTGTCCAAGAAATTTTGAAGATAGCTATGTGGGTAACCTACTGGAAGAGATGGATATTTGTTCCCATTCCAAAGAAAGGTGACCCAACAAAAGGTGGAAATTACTGAACAGTATCATTAATATCACATAAAAGTAAAATTTAGCTAATAATATTTCAGAACTGGTTGGAGCAGTATATCAACACAGAACTGCCAGACATTCAAGCCAGATTCAGAAGAAGACATGGGAAGATGGGTAATACTGCTGATGTCAGATGGATCTTGGTTGAAAGAAAAAAGTACCAGAAAGGTGCTTATTTGTGTTTTATTGACTATGCAAAGACATTGAACTTTGTGGATCATGACAAATTATGAATAAGTTGTAAAGAATGAAAATTACAAAACACTTAATTGTACTCATGAGTAACCTGCATTTAGACCAAGAGGCAGTCATTTGAATAGAACACAGGGATGTTATGGTTGTGTTGTTGTTGTTAGATGCCGTTGAGGCGTCTCTGACTCATAGCGATGCCACGCACAGCAGAACGAAACACTGCCTGATCCTGTGCCAGCTCCATGATCCCTGCTATACTTGAGCCCATCAATGCAGCCTCTGTGTCAATCCATCTCGTTGAAGGCCTCCCCCTCTTTCATCGACCCTCCACCCTACCAAGCATGACATCCTTCTCCAGGGAATGGTCCCTTCTGACAACATGACCAAAATAGG